CTGAAGCATTTGACAGTGTCCCGCCCGCAATGCTGCTCCACAAGATCAGTTCAAATGGCGAAGGAAGAATCGTGAGACCAGCCGACGCCCATTGTAATCTCTGCCTACGCACCTACCGACTGCAGTTCGGATGATGCAAAGGACGAATTCTAAGAGAAGCCGTCATTTCGCTTTTGAACACAAAACGTTCAAATGTAGTCATAATGGCAGGTGACTTTAACGCTCAAGGGAGGAAAGTGAGCTGAGTCGTCAATCGGCAAGGCCTATGCCTATGATAGATGTGTATGGAATCTCATGCTAATGAGCCGACAACGGTGATCGTCGTTTGCGATTTTGTTTTGACAGTCACTTGTTTCTGGACAGCACTAACTTCAAGAATAGGGAGGAACACTGTCTCAAATGGTCTCCTCCAACTATTAAACCAACGATAGACGCAGACTAAATTGCTATAAGCCAATCGGCCGAGAGGATCGGTGGAGGATTGCAGATCTCTCTCAAGAAAGATTAGGACTCTGATCACGCGCTACTATACATCTGTGCCTTACTGGTTGCAGGAAACATGTGATAGTAAACCATATCTATGCTCCATTGGAAGAGGAGGACGCCAAATATGTATTTCGGGAGGAGTTAGTCAGGCATTTATCTGAACTTGACAGCAATGCTCATCTTGACGAAACCCTGCGTTGTATTAAGTCTACTGTAGAAGCAGCGGTAAAGACAATTGGTAATCTTCACCCTACGGTTACTAAACATCATTGGATTTCTGCAACGCCATCGGAAATGATTAACACGAGTAGACTTATTTCACCTGGCCCTGACCACAGTATAGAACGAAAGCAACTAAAACGTAAGTTGACCAAGGGTCTTCTCAGTGGTCATGGGGAGTGGTGGGTGGCGGAAGCGAGAGAGATGGAAAAGGTATGGCGTTAGGTAATACCTGGCAACTAGTTATTAAGGATACCTGTGCAATTTTATGCAAGGTTCTACGCTGATTCTGCCTGTTTGTCTATGTATAACATCCTAAGGTTAGAGTTGAACTACTTCTGCTTTGTTGTCCAGTCTTTCATCGAGAACGTTGAGTAGATTTGCTACCCACTCTGTTCGATTGGTATTAGCTGTTACTTGATTGAAAGCTTCAGTCTTTTTTGTGGGTTATGTTCTCCCATTATTTCCAAAGAATTTTAATGTGTTTGTCTGAATTTGTTGACAGGACCTGACTTTTTTGTTGTTGAATCAACACCTGACTCATGTAACAAGAACAGTTTTCTGAAATTTTTGGAAAATATGACTGGTTGTTGCTGTTCCTGGAAATTTCAGATTTAGAAAGGGTTCTCCCTAAAACCCCTGCGAAATACTCAAATGGGTCAGTTCATCCTGCCAGATCCTTCTTTAGGTACATTCAAAACCCTACCTTATGACTCACACTCTTATCCTGCACTGCTCCATTCTCAAGTCTATGAGAAAGATAATGAATTAAACGAAGAAACCACTTCGTACCTTGTTGTTCATTCCATTATCTCATTATAGGGCTTGGCTAGACTAAAGAACCAAGACTTAACATCGTTTCAACAGGGCTTCTTAATTGTTTTCAATAGGTATTGCGTCTTGCAAAATTACCTTAACACTTCTACAGATTGAATAAAAAACGTTACAATTGACTATTATTCACTCCTCATATTTCGTTCCATGTGGGTTCCGTATACTTGTTTTCATTTCTTGTAAGCTTTTCATGAACTTGAATGGGTATGGCAGTAATCGCTTGAAGCTTGCTTTCATGTCAACTACAATCAGTTTATGAACTTCAGCAAGCTGTACCATACACGTTGCGAAACTTTCCGCCAGACCTTACAATTTCTGTAGTGAGTTCTCCAGCACTTCTCCAGTTGGTTCAACTGAAATGTTGACTCTTGCGTTTGAGATGAATTTAATTCACATTGCTAATTAGTGTGTTATAGGTGGAACAAGAAGTTTGATACCTTCCATTTACTTGCAAGTGCTTCCGAAAGTTTTTGTAATTCTTTCACGTTGTCCGGGAAGAGATTGTGAAAGTTGTTTCAATTTAGATTTCTTAGTGTAAGATATGCAGTGTGCTAAAGTGCACTGGGGTTATGAGCATGAATATTCTTTTTTACTTGTTACCGATTCCTGTAAAAATAAATAGACGGAGTTTAAGGGAAGGATTGTCATTTTACACCTGTGGTTTTTAAGGTTCTAGGGTTTATAATTCGATAGCAAACAAGAGGAAAGGATGATCATTTGTCACTTTCTACACTTGCATACTAAGTTACTTCAAGCGAAATGGGATCTAGGTTATGTCCTTATATTGTTTTGCATACCCTTACACTAAGCCATATTTTAAGATAGGTTGCTCATTTCTGATGAAAACTTAATAACCGCTTTAATTTTCAGGATGACCCACAAGTATTTGTATCTCAGTTTAAAAAAAGTGTGTGATATCCGGATAATAGGCCCTTTTTCATTCCTGAAATTAATCCTTCACGAGCGCTTATTCCGTGGTGTCACCACGTGAGTAACGCAGACGTCAGGTGTAGAGTTTTAGGGAGTAGAGGTAAATCTGTTGACAAGGTTATAAACCTTCAACGACTGAGATGGTTGCGACACGTATTACGTATGCCTAGTCGCCGATTGCCTCGTCATACAACGTTGGCCGAAGTAGGTTCGGGCTGGAAAAAGGCCCGAGGTGTCCAGACTAGAACATAGCACCAATGTATAAAGTCTTTGACTGTTGGTTTAAGCCATGTGGGGCGATGCAGACTAGCTGGTTGGTGTCGGCGGGAAAAGAGAAAGCAGTGGTTGGAGACTAGGTGATATGGCTGAGTACCGATGTCAGTGGCTCAGATGTATACATACATTATCCTCATCTTAACGACGCTATACCGAACCTCACCATTTTGTCATTCCTCCTTTCTTTCTTCTCGTATTTTATATTTCTTCTGACTGAACTTTCTTATCTTCATCTTTCACTTCACTGCCTTTTTACTTGATGCACTGATATGAGGTGTGGCAACTCGGACCGTTACACTGTAATGCCTGGTCCTATGTTGATATTGATGATGATGCTTATTTGATTGGTCAGTCAGGTTAGGGTACAACTTGAGATTAATTAGGCTGCACTTAATTTTAGTTTAATGGGGAATGATTGGTTTTTAACAGAATCGGGGAAAATTCTGAATTTGATAAAGAAGAAAGTAATTGGTGAAACAAAGCAGGTTGTAACGGTGTAACTACAAAAATCTCCCATCTGTGAGGGATTTGCTGTGTCTTTGAGTAGTTCGTCTATTTCTAATCCAGTAGATAGTTTGTTAATAAGCATTCTTCAAATATGCCAAAATTAAGTTGCATACGATCATTTTACGCCAGTTGGCGATACTGCCTGTTTCGCTGGTTCTTCAAGTCCTCAATTCCAAGAAATCAGGAGTGAACAGCTAACACTAGAATATTTAATCTCTGTACGCTAACCATATTGTCTTCTGATTGTAATTCTAGCTCCCCAAGCCCTTAAACCGAATAAAATCAAGGATGCCATCCCCTGTAAACTCTGTAAAACGGCCACAAAACTGTCTTTTTAGCATCGATACCAAAAAGTCCCACCGCGACATCTTGTTTTACGTTTCGTTTATGCTTTGTGCTCCCCCAGAAAATTTGCTCTCGTTGTGAGTTCACATGATTTCCTCCTCTTCTACCCTTGACCTTCCTAATATTCTTATCCTTGACTACTTTTTTCCCTGGATTTATTTCCTACGTCCTCTTTTTGCATTCCCTTCCTCAATTACTTTTTCTCACATTTTCCTTCACTATCGACTAGGTGATCTAACATACCTTAGGTTGATTGCTAACGTGTATGCAGTGTTTAGCGGTGAAATTAAGTACTAACCATAGTTTATTTGTATAAATATGCTCATAGCATGCTGTTAGGGTGAATATTGTAAGTTTCCATTCTAATAAGCAAAGTAGAGTGGAATTACAGTATACCGCTACCTAATTTTTACTTTTATATTAAGATTGTATTGTTTCTTAACTCACTTAACTCACTTGTTTGCTAAGCTGTACGCGAACGCATTTATAATAAAATTAAGTTTCGGCAACTCAGGACTATTTAAAACTTCGATAAAACATTAAAAAGACGTAAATTATCTGAACCGTGTAATGTATTTGCGCAACACATTTCGATCTTCTCAAACACGGACTTGCCATAGATATTTAAATGGAAATTTATGAAGATTAGGGACGAGAAAAAGAAAAGAGGTCAGGATTATCCGAATTCTTCATTGATAAATGAAGTTTCCCCTAGATCGCTTATAATCAAGTAAGTGTCTGTTTTTTAAGTAGTTTGGCCAGCAGGGTAAAATGTTATCAATGTTTTCGTAGGGAAGATTCAATAACAAAACTAATGAATTGTTGTAGACTTTATTCATTAGCATGAACGTAAATTTTAAATGGTAAATTTTTGAAAAGGTGTTCACAGGACTCGTGGCACGTATATTTATATCTAGTAGTGTACTTTACGAACATGTATTTAGTTAATAAGTTCTAATTTCATTACTAATTGTCAACGTTATAATTATATAAAGTGTGCTCATTAGGTTGGCAAATCTGCTTTCAATACCAGGATTTTTACCACGTTTGGATCATGGTTATTAACAGTTCATACGGATATTATGAAAAGCCATATGAGGTATCTCTTTCAAAACCGACATTTTTAGTTTCGATCTTATTTGTCTTCCTAAGTAATAACTGCGTTTATTTCCACTCATGGATTTTTTCAAGTATGCTCACTTTTAATCAAACTTGTAGTCTTTTTACTAACTTTTGATTACTTAACTATCGGTTGGCGTTTTCGTATATCTATCATACATGATTGACCACTGGCAGGCTCAGCAAGCTTCAGTTTTCGAGAAATTCACTTGGACGTTACCTTTGAATTTTGAAACTACTTTCAAATTCAACGAACCCATCATAATCATCTTTGCGTTTAGAATATGAGACAAGAGATCTTATATTTTTACATAACGCTTTTACGACAGTATGGATTGATTTCATAATGAAATACCTTGTAGTGGGGAAACAACTGAAAATAAAAACAAAATAATTCAAGGTTAGTTTGATATTTTCTACGAATCCTCCATTTGTAGGCCACTTAGATACAGATCTGTCCGATAATGGATTGGAACAAGCAAAAAGTATGCGAATATACATCACCCAAATTAAGCCTGATGTTGTTATTTCGAGTGATCTAAAGAGAGCCAGATTTGTAAGTTTTTAAGATTTTGCGATGCCTCTGAGATTGATTTACTCATTCTTAAATGTTCTCATGCTAGTCTCCCAGCTTCATTTATGTACACTCCTACTCTTCGGTTTCATACGTATTTAGAGTCTCTGAGTCTGAATGTTATAGAGGATTAATCATACAACGAAACGCATGCTTCGATTGAGAGGATAAATTAGATGGTCATCCTTTATTTCCATTTTAGATCAACTGTATGCTGTTCCTGGGATAGTTACTAGTGAGTAGTTCAGAGTCTAAACTGAATGAATCATATAATAATAGTAATAACAATAATAACAATGGTAACAATAATGTAATATATTTCATACAACATAAACTGCACGAAAACAAACCAGTTTACAGGGTTGATCATTGTAGTAATGTGAAGCGACTGTTATGTACAATATCAAGCAATACATTAAGCGCCGTTATTCATGGCACATAAGAGATGAGTTTAGAGAAAGAACGTTAATGCTTCGCATACAGCAAAGAATAAAACAGATAAACACCAACTTAATTGTTCTGTAGGTTGAAGCAAGCTCAGTTCGAAATTAGGAACTATTCAGCCATTGTTTGAACCATGGAATATTCTTGAAGGTAAGGCGGGTAGTACAGCCGTGACCTTAGAGTGTACGCATTCCTCATAAAAATGTGACGGCATAGTGCACGCTGGCAAATGCGGTTACTAGGATTCCATATAAATGAAGAACTGGTTAGGTAGACCTGAGAAACGAATAACAATATGTCTGCAGAAATATTTCATATAATTCAAAATCAAGGCGTTTTCTCAGAAAATGTAAACGAAATGAAAATATTACTACCCTTTTTCAAATCCTTTTTATTCTTCTAAAAATGGCATTTCACTGCATCACAAAATACTTGATGATATAGTAGCAAGCACACTGATGCTGTTTTTCTCATAATGCCTACTTTTTTTGGTAAATTCTCGGAGAAATACGTCTGTAAAGTTAAATATTACTGTAAAACTGATGTGTATATCCTCTATTAAACCGTAAAATGTTAGCCAGTAATTAGTCATAGGGATACTAAACCCTGGAAAATTCAGTTGTCAGTCAAAAGAGTCATTTGAAAATAAAATGACTTGTTCTTCTCTGGCTTACCAAATGCCTTGGTATGGTCAAAGGTGGGATGATCTCGGTCATCCTTTCGTAATTCCCTCATATGGCCATGGGTTATTAGTCTATACAAGAAAAGTCGTACTGACTCCCTTCAAGTGGCGATGGTGGGAGCGTTTCCACAAAGCGAGGGGGTGAAAGTGAACCTCTGGTTCTACCACACATAAAAACGAAATCAACGTAGAACCTTTCATAGAAGTGCATCATTTCAAGTTGCCACACTTCACGTGATGATTCCACCATGCGTGAGCAATGATGCGAAGACACGTGTGATTCATGTCATTTAATTTCAATCACCATTTCTCACAGTTGCAATTAACTGCAACGCCTAATCACCTTATCACTCGATATTTTGAACACAGAAGAAGTTAATAAGCCATGATTCCAAATTAGTAGTGCACATAAGAGCCACGATCTAGAACGAATAACCACCAGCTGCTACTTTTATCCAGTGTTCGGGATTAGATATCACAATAGTCAAACGAGATATGTTGGTCGGAACATTTGTTTCTTGAGATCCTGCCGTACCTCATATTGCTGATACTAACACTAAACCCCTCATAATTTCCTCAGCTTCCATCCTTGCAACCATGACTGACGATCATCACTAGCGCAATGTCATTCCTAATTTTGTAAGACCACTTTACGGGTTTAAAAGTCTAAACCGTATTTGGAATGGGGAACAAACCTGACTTATAAAACGATAGTCTCGAGAAATTGACTGACTGACAAAATCAACGTCGAACCTCACACACAGGTTCCTCGACCTGAGTTGCTACCCTTACAGTAGTAAACAAAGAACAGGTGGATAGAAAAAGAGTGGTATGAAAGAAGATAAAGTAGTGCGAGAAAAGATGTCAAAGAATGAATGCATGTAAGCCACTGTAACCGATTTTCAAACGTGTCACTAAGAGTCGTTAACCACTGATTCATATCGTCTCAGGGACCGCAACCAGACAGTCTACATCTCCCAACTCGGCTCAAACCAACAGTCAGGGATTTCATCGACTGGTGCCACGTTTTGGCCTGGCCACCATGAATTCTCTTCCAACCTCATCCAACATCCCCTAACATTACAGGTTGGCAGTGGCTCGGCATGCACAGTACATGTCAAGCCATCTCAGTCGACTACAGTTTATAACCTCACCAATCGACTTGCCCATCTTGCCAATTAGTGTCTTTCAACCGATTACAACATCGCTCAAACCGTGATTCCATCAATCGTGACTCATGCCACAAAGACATCTATGGTCAAACCCCTGCGACTGCTTCATATCTTCTACTTTTAACGGCCGTATCGGTCATATAACAGGACAGCATGAACTGCAGCACTTTATACTCGCCTAGTTCACTAGTTACTAGCATGTCCTATGCCCGGATAAAGAGGGAAGGTTGGGCGTAGGACTAGCAACCCTATCCCATAAAACAAGTCCAATCGCCAAAGAAACTTCAAAGCACAAAGAACATATAGAAAATAAAATTAAACTTATTCCCCGCTGGAATCGGAGAAGTGAAATGACCCAGTTGGTGAAAGCCTTCGGGAAGCCAATTGGCCGATGTGTCTTCGCTTCTCTCGATGAAAGCGAAAGTAAACATGGAGACATGGAATTTCCGCACTATGTTTGAGGCTGGCTGGTTAGGCTGCCCAGATTGCCAAAGAGATGAGAAGGTATAGCATAGAAGTGCTAGGCTAAGAATCTGCGAAAGCAGATGGAATGGAAGTGGACTCTCCAAACTGTCAAATGGAGAGTCAATAATATACGCCGACAGCGTCACCCAGACGACAATCACGAGCACATTGAGTTATGGAGTGGCTATCATGATGTCCCAAGAGTATCAAAGGCTCTCATGCAGTGGGAACCAATCTCCTCTTGCAGGATTATGACAGCAAACACAAGGATATTCACAAAGCGACATGGATTTGATTTCACTAGATGGACACACTAGAAATCAGATCGACTTCATCTCAATCTGAAGAAAGTGGAGACGCAGCCCACTGGACACAAGATCAAGAAGAGGACCAGAAGTAGGTTCACACAACTCACTATCTAGTGCTAGGAACCTACCTCCAAACCGAGTTGAAAGCCTTCACCGAAGTTGATGATAGGCCACAGTTCAAGTTGAACACCCAGAACAGAAACTGAACTGAAGGACGAAACTACAATGGACATCTTCACATTAGTAATCAGGACAAAACAGGAGATATTAAGCAACATCCCTGAAAAAACCTGCGTGGAAGAACACTAGAACCCCTTGAAAGAGATGTGGGAAGAAACCTGGATAACTGTATTAGGAAGGAAGAAAGGAAAAACAGGCAAAAGAATAGATCTCGAGGACACATGGAAACTGATAGAGGAGAGGAAGATGAACCAGTGCAGTGCAGCGCAGGGATGAACAACAGAAAGGGGGACTGAATACAGCCTATAAAACTCTACACTGGACAAAGAAGTGAAGAAGAGTGCGCGCAAAGACAAAAGATACTTCTACGACACACTGGCAAGTGAAACAGAACAGGTTGCAGGTGGGAGAGACCTGACAACACCATATTAAATAACCAGGTTACTTGCTGTCTGGGAAGAGATCAACACAGGATAAACGAAACCAATGAAAGATAGTGAAGGAAACCTAGTTGCTACCAAAGAGGAGAAACAAAGAAAACAATGGGCCAAACACTTCAAAAACTCTTGAGTCGACCACCACCACCAACTGCGACTCGTGCAGAAATACCACCAGCAACCCAGCCACAGAATTATCAGTGAACACAAGCCCTACTACAAAAGCAGAAGTGAACGCCACAGAGCTGCTGAAATCCAGGAAAGCAGCAGAACCAGATGGAATTCCACCAGAAGCATTGAAAACGGACATAGAGTCAACAGTGGACAGCTCACACCACTACTGAAGAAGGTTTGGAAGGAAAGATAGCTTCCGATTGATTGGAAGAAGGGCTACCTTGTCAAACTCCCAAAGAAGGGAGACCTGAGTCTTTGCAAGAACTAGCGAGGAATCTTACTCCTGTCCACACAAAGCAAGCGAAATATTAAGCCGCATCATCCTGTAGAGACTAAAAGATGCACTGGATTCAAAATTGCGACCGGAACAGGCTGTCTGGCTTCAGGAAGAACAAACCATGTGGGGATCAAATTGAAACACTACGCTACGCATCATCATAGAACAGAGTATAGAATGGCAGTCAACTCTCTACCTCAACTTCATCGATTTCGAAAAGACCTTCGACAGCGTCGACCGAGAAGTGATTTGGCAGACAGTTGCTTCAACACTATGGAATACCACAAACCTTTAACAACTGTGTGACGACGCCATATGTCAAGTGATCCACAATGGAAATCTCAGTGATGCCGTTAAAGTGAAGACAGAAGTAAGAAAAGGCTGCAACCTACTATCACCGACGATCTTGCTGATTGTGGTCGACTGGACTGCATCATGAAACAGACCGTGGGCATACGCTGACCGGACCGATGAAAAGACCCCAGAAGAAGGTTTCAATTTCGCCGATGATGATGATTTGTGTCTAATGGCTTGTCGCACAAACTCGAAGATCTACAGGCGAAAACCAACAAGTTGGCAGAAGAGGCAGTGCAGCGAAGACGGGACTTCCTTCAGGTGAATGTAGAGAAGATGGAGGTGATGAAGATGCTCAGACAACAACGACACCAACAAGCACCGATCACCATAAGCGGGAGAAATCTAGAGGAAGTGGTCTCTCTCACCTACCTAGGTAGCGTCGTTTCAACCACAGGCGGCGGCAGTGATGAGGATGTGAAAACCAGGATCGGCAAGACAGCAAGACAGGCTTCCATTAATCTGAAATCAGTGTGGAAATCGACTGCA